ATATGTCTCCAGTATTGCGGAATGGAGGAAGTAGTATTTATTCTATTTGTCCCACTCAATTCGAGTCAAAATAAACTCCAAAAGCGGCCTGACGATCTGTTTTTATACCAACGTGATTGTCCCTCTGGGACAAACGTGTTGAAGATTTGGCACTGTGTTCTCCCAATCACTCAAAATAGTGGGGTCCACATGTCGAGTATGTGGCGCGTCGCTCGTTGGGCCGCCGTCCAGCGCCGCCACTTCAGCGCGAAGAAGACGCCTGCGTTCGAGTTCAATTCGGCCGCGGAGTACTACACCTACCTGAACGAGCACCATAGCCGACTGCCGTGGGGCTTCTCCGTCGGCAACACCACGTTCAAGTTTGTTCCGCAGGAGGCGCCGCACCTGCCGGCGCAGATGACTCTGACGTTGATCAAGCCTCACAAACCCACGTCTCTCTTTGGTGCCGTCTTCACGCAAAACGCGTGTCCTGGCGCGCCGATCAAGGTCGGGCGCAAGCGGCTGGCAGAAGACACGCTCGGGGCCATCATCGTCAACAACAAGATCTCCAACGTGTGCGCGAACGGCGGCGGCGTCGGCGACGCGCAAGAGGTTTGTGATGCCATCGCGCAGCACTTGGACTTACGGGGATCCCAAGTTCTGCCCAGCAGTACCGGCGTGATCGGATGGCGTCTGCCCGTGGAGCCCATCATCAACGCCCTGCCCAGTCTCGTGGAATCGCTGCAAGACACGTCCATCTTGCCTGCTGCGTCGGGTATCATGACCACGGGTATCCAACCTATTTTTTCAGCGTGCCACGTCGTCACCTACGATTGTCCATTCCTTCACATGAAACGTTTCTAGATTTGTACCCCAAGATCCGATCCGCCGACGTGTGCGGCGGTCGTATCGTCGGCATCGCCAAGGGTGCAGGCATGGTCGAGCCCAACATGGCCACGATGCTATCGTACATCCTCACGGGTATATATTGGGTATTTATTGTCCTTTTACCGAATATTTGGCTGAATATTTGGACTTTTGGGTGCTGATTCTTTGCCAAATCCGTCGATCGATTCCTTGTCCTGACTTTTGTAAAGATCGTCCAGTATCACACTAATTTCAATCATACACTAATTCGATGTTGAATTATTCGAAGAGTGAGTTTGATTGGCTACTTGATTCGAGTTGTGGTTTTTGATTGGTCGATTTTCAATTCTCTGCCGATTTGGTGATTCTGCTCATTCGATTGAGCACCCAAACACTCCAATTTCGAATCGAATGAACAATACTGACGTTTGTATGCAAAAATCGTCCAAAGTCATTCCCACACGAATTCAATGTTGCATTCTTGGTATGATTTGATTGGCTAGTTGATTAGTGTTGTGGGTTTTGATTGGTCGTATATCGATTGTCTGCCCAGTTGGTTCTCCTGCGCATTCGATTGACTACCCCCCCCCACTCTGATTTTTTGAATCGACTATATTGTGCATTTCACCGAAATTTGGACTTGAGAGTCATTTCGCCAAATATAGTTTTCGAATCTATTGTCGATTTGATACTTGTACAAAATTGGGGAGGGGGTGCAATCGAATCGCGCCAACCAAACCGATCCACAATCGATCTGATTGGTTGAATTTCATTTAGAAGGTTTTAATTGGTTAATAATTTTGAGCTCATCTGAAGTAGCCAATCAAATCGATTTAATTTCCAACGAGAAACCACAACACGAAATTTCACTCGAAAGCACAATATTTGATCCTGTTGAATCTTGTACACACTATAATACTATACAACGATGAGTATATAAATGGTTTTGTCCAATGCGGAGGGGTTAAACGTTTGGATTGGCAGAAATTCGACATGATGTGATTTGATTGGCTCTGGCGGTTCTTGAATCGATTCTCTTAAGGCCTTCGATTCACATGCTGAGGGCTCCAGTTTCGAATCGAATTGACAATATATTGACTGTATATAGACTTGTCGGTGCCGCGCGAGTTGCTGCGGCAGTTGCTGGCCGAAGTCGTCGAACAAACGTACAACTCGATGAGCGTCGACACGGACGAGAGCACGTCCGACACGCTGGCGATCGTGTCGTCGGATCAGATTCCATTTGACGTGGACGACACGGACGCATTCAGAGCCGCTTTGTACGACGTGTGCGCGGGGCTGTGCGAAGACATTGTGCGCAACGGCGAGGGCGCCCATCATGTGATGCGCGTGGTCGTGACGGGCGCCGCGGACGAAGTGCAGGCCAAAGGCGTCGGCAAGTCGATTGTGAACTCGCCGCTGCTCAAGTGCGCCGTGGCAGGGAACGATCCCAACGTTGGCCGCCTCGTCATGGCGGTATGTTTCCAGTGTGTTGGCATATGCTTGGGAAGAAGAGGACCAAGTTTTGGTTGGGGTTGTTGATATGTATATATATACACTGTACTAGGTGGGCAAATACATGGGAAAGCACTACAAGGGCGTGCAGCACGTGGCGGAAACCATGACCATCAGCATGGGGGGATTGCGCATTTTTGAGTGTGGCGAGTTCACGCTCAATGGGTATGTATATATAGTATTGTCGTTTTACCCAAAATTTGGTTGACTTTTGTGCTGATTCTTTGCCAAATCTATCGATCGATTCTTCTTTGTACTGACTTTTGTATGTAAAGATCGTCCAGAATCACACTAATTTCATTCATACACTAATTCGATGTTGAATTGGTCCAAGAGTGAGTTTGATTGGCTACTTGATTCGAGTTGTGGTTTTTGATTGGTCGATATATCGATTGTCTGCCGATGTGGTGATTCTGCTCATTGACCACCCAAACACTCCAATTTCGAATCGACTTGCAATACCAAGCATGGACATACGATGCGGAACATATCTGATCATGGGATTCGGGCCTAGGGACGTCGAGAAGGAGCTCGTGCAGCACATGAAGAAGGCGCAGCTGACCGAGACGACGCGCGGCGGCGTCGATCACACCTCCCGCGACTACCCCCCTCATGACCACATGGTGGAAATTCAAGTGGATTTGGGGCTCGGCAACGCCACCGCAAAAGTCCTCGGGATAGACCTCACCCACGAATATGTGGCCATCAACGCCGACTACCGCTCGTAGCGTAAATGATCAACCTTGTGGTATTTTTCGTTGCTCTCAGGACCGCGATTTCAATTATTGTGAAAAGGAGTCCTGATTCAAGCAATGACCAATTGAGTACACTTTAAACTGTCCGAGCACCATATATTGGTCATCTATGTACGTTAAGCTGACTCGTCGAACGTTGGCAATCTTATCAATATCAATCCACCTTGTCCTGCCAAATATCGAGGCTTTTGATATCCGTACATATCGTAATATCGTGGCTTTTGATGTCCGTACATACGACTGTAGTAGAGCCAAAGTACTTACTACCTCCGTCCGAAAATGTTTGCCACAACCAGCAGAAATCGTCGATGAACTTGAAAATAGATGAAGTATAATGTTCAAAAGGTATGTATTTGTAGAGGAGAAATCATGGATCACCAATAGAAGATCTTCGCACCAAAAAACATCCAATCAAACCAGCAATCATGCATGCAAAGCTCGATACTTTATCCAATATATGTAACATGGGCTCTGCATCGTATCCGGATATCCGAATACGAATACCATATATCCGGATGATATGCACTGACAAACCCTTTCAAACTGTCATGCGCGGGATACGTGGAAGAATCTGACGAACACGGACCGCAATGCCACCCTCCATCGGCTGCTAGCACTTGTCAGGCCGCAATCATCGACTCAAAGATCGACGAACTTGCCCAAGAGACAGCGTTGACGATTGAACTGAGCGAATTTTGCTCCCAACTCGAGCTGCTTGTGGTTCGAAGCAATCCCGATGCGGACGACTATTTCGATGACGACGACGTAGAAATTGACCTCGACGAGCTCTTTGGTACTTTGTAAATAAATGTCCTTTATATTGTATGTGGATGTTTGTCTTTTTACAGTTTTCAAGTACTGTGCACTTGTAGCAAACTTTGTCGAACTTCAATAATTGAGTTTGTAGCAAACATTTTCGGACGGAGGTAGTATGTATATAGCATCCATCGCTTACAGTAAATTGTGCAATACTATTATAGTACTATACAGTAGGCATTGCAGTATGTCTCTTATCAAAAGCAGCGTTGCAAGCTGGCTGGCTTTTATCCTAACATTGCGCATATGGTAGGTAATATTGCTTGGAATGTTTTCAGGGGGTGTCTATCCCAAAGTTTTAACCCTCTTGGACGAACATAATCGATTTACATCCTGTACATAAGAATAACCTTGAGACTATTGTATATATACTTTTCTCCAGGGGAGTGAATCACACTCCCACTTCAAATTTCAAATTGAAATTAACTTGATCAGAAATGGTGTATACTACTTACTATTCCTCTGTTCCACCTTACTGCCGACATTAGAAAAAAGTACATTTCCATGTTACAGTCGACATTTTGATGTGATTGGCCCATGTTGAAATATGCGAATTTGATTGGACATAATCATCACTTGGTAGTAACGTGGAACAGAGAAGTATTCATATCAAATCTCTGCCAAGTGAACTCTGATTGGTGGAGTCTCGATTATCTCAATATGACTGGTTAAACATTGCCGTACAAAGTGATCCCATTGGCCATTGGCCAGGTGGTATGCAGGGTTAAAGAGATTTTGAAAAGCCTTATTTAAGAACCTACCTACCCCTTATTGAAATCACGTGTCAACAATTGCAAGCTTGTCTCATCCAACTGCAATTATCAGGGCAATTGTCATTCTCAAACAGTAATCTCATAAGGTTGTGGTGCAGTGAAATGTCCACGTCTACGCTGGATCCGTCACAATCTTGGTGGCATCACACGGACGACAAGCCATCATGAAGTCGGCGCGCGTCAGTACTGGGGCGCAGCTGGAGAGAGCTTCCAATCGCCTTGGGTGCGCGTATCCGACGTGGCAACAAGCGACAAGGACGGATGACACAGCTATGGGATACAAGATTCAAGATAGGGAAAGTCACGCCTTCTGGTTGAATTACCGTAAATAAAGGTGTGGCGAGGGGGAATAGGGTAAGAAGTACTTAGCGCAACCCTCAATGCCAAAAAGTCACTTCGAAATCTTCCCAGTAGAGCAGAGACACATGAAAGTCCCTGCGACCCTTGCCCTCTTCGCCACTGCCACTGCCCGTGCCGCGTACCCTACGTATGACATCCCTGCATTTGACGTGCAAGTGGGCTCGGAAGCATCGTCGCTCGTGGCGGCGTTGAAGTCGACCGGTCTCGTCGCATTGAAAAACATCCCAGACTACTCCACCACTCGCACTGCGTACATGCAAGCGGCCGCCGAGTGCGTGACGGCTCCCCATGAAAACGTGATTCACAAGCGCTTGGTGGATGGCACCCAGCGTCGCACGTTGAGCACCCACGCCGACTTGGACTTGGTCCCCGAGTCGCTGACGAATGCATGCCCCGACTACGTCGCCGCCCTCAAGGTAAACAAACCCCTTATGTACTGCTTTCCTCATGTGTACTACCCTAGGCGTTCAACAGGGTAATCGACAAGGCCGGCGTCGCGTTCGCACGGGCCCTGGATGCCACATCCACGTCCATTCAGAACCACGCTGTCGAGACGGTCGTGACCAAGGGAAAGAACTTGGAGCACTTGCACGCGTATGCGAGCTCTGCCGTGTCGTCTCCTGACTCTGGTGCAAATTCCTCCTTCTTCCCATGACTCGTCGTCATGACCCCCTCATTAGAGCTTTCGTTGGAGCGACATACGGACAACGGCCTGTTCATCCTCATGTCAGCGCCCAAGTTCTTCGACGCTGCGTCCAACCAACCCGTAGACAACCCCGACGCGAACGCTGGTCTGTTGGTGACGCTCAACGGCACGGACTTCCGCCCCGTGCAAAAGGATGACGAGCTCGTGGTCATGGTGGGCCAAGCATTCAATGAGTGGGGGGACTTCGGCCATCGGCTTCCCGCCGTGCTGCATGCGATGGTCATGCCTCGATCGGCGACCCCCGTAAACCGTATCTTCTTCGGGCGCATGGTGCTCCTTCCCGAGGACGCTGTCATGGCCAACACCAACACCACATTCAGCGAATACGCCGCCAGCACCAAGCGGTTCCTGCTCGGCCAAGACGTACTGCCCACGTCCAAAACTCAGTTTATAACATTTTGCGATGTGGATAGAATGACGTGGCCACGTTTGCGTGCCCGATCCACCGTCAATTGCAATCGTCCGACCCGTCTTGCACCATTGGCATCTGGGTACGTACGCTGCAGTTACTTGGCAACTTGCTCTGAAACGATCAGTGGTTTGATGAGGATGAATGTAGGAGCCGTCCGCTGACAGCGCCGGTAACGTCACCAAGGCCATGTGCATGCGCGACTGCAATGTGGATGCGTCGGTGGCGCACATGAAGAAAGATTTCGACCGGTGCTTGGCCAACAAATGTATCAAGACGTCTGAAGTCGCCAATGGCGGCACCACGTGCTGGATGGTACGTCCAAGAAAACTCACATGTTTAAAATGTCCATACTAATAACACCTACTATCTCGAAAGGTGTGTGTGCAAAAGTACTCGGACGACGTGTGCCCGTCCAAGTCGTCGACGTGTGTGGACGACACGTTGGTGTGCCAAGGTACGAACTACTTAAGTACTCGTGTTGTCCATGTAGTAGTAACTAGAAGATCAAGTGCTGACATTAAAACGTGTTAGGCGGAACTGTGCCCCCCAAGGCTGGGACCTCGGCGCCTACGACCACGTCCAAGTCGGCGGCTGCCACATCGCTGCTCTCGGCCGCTGTCGCATGTGTCGTCGTGTTGGCAGGAAGTGTCGCAGTTTAATTCATCTCTTGATTGGCCAGTCACGATTGTATGTGTTCACTGGAGTGAGATTACTCGAAGCAACATCTCGAAAACACACACATATATGCCGTGTGAGGTATACTGTATAGATTTGGACAGTGGCGGCGGGCAAGTATCCAGTTACGGATTTTGTCGATTACCATAAGCATACAATAATCAAGTGTAATAATCCAACTATATTATTTTACAGAGGATTATATCAATTTACAGAGGAGTCCAAATCTATATGGCTATCTAAACCTATATACACTACACGGTATATATATCTATCTCCCAACCTGGACTTATGTGCCACTGACAACTGAACCCTTCGCTCCATCCACATCATCGTCACGCTTCGGTGGACTTTTTGAGCTTGACTCTCACTTGGCACTAGACGAAGTTTCAAGTCATAACGTGGATAGTGATCGCTCATGCATCAAGGCAGTATTGACTAAGATATGTACTATTAATAGTTATTTATGTTATTGACTCAATTCATTGTCGATTGCCAAACTAATCATTTGAACGATCACAACATACTAGTATATGATTTTGAAAACCTCGAAACGGTAGCATTATTTTGGATCATGTGACATGGACATTACCGGAGTACGGAACATTTGTGAACCATCATGGGCCCACCAAACGTGTACTTTTGGAGCTAGGTATTTGCAATATTCAAATTTTATTTTTTTTATTAATGAAATTTTTTTATAAGAAAATATTTTTTATTTTTTTTATTAATTTTTTTTTGCATCAGTTGAGGTAGTCATGTCTTTGACACGCTACAAGGACGATTGTTCTCCCTGGTGATGACACCACCGCGAAATTTCAAATTTGTTACAAGTTCGAAACCTGTAAGACACAAAACGTGCATTCTGCAATACTGGCTATAATTATTTTTCGGGTGTAATTGTTAACAGTGTAAACACATATTTTATTAATTCTCTTCAAAACAAAAGAACTAAGTGTGTTTACGAACTACACCATTTTTCCTTTCAGTTCAGATTTTTTCCGGTATATTTCGTCCGACGCACAACTGATTCACGCCTTGTCCGTTATATTCGCCGAGCATTGGATATATTTCGTCCAGACCATACATGGCTGCAGTATATTTCGACTAATGTCCGTACGTATTTTTTTATAATTTCTGGTCTCACGTTTCACGCAGCATACTTTGTTCTTCATATTTGATTGTACCACTGTGCGCCAGTCCCTACGTCGTTCACTGTAGTTGAGGGCAAAATGCACAATGAATTAACTGAAGATCTACAAAGATCTCCTTAATCCTCATCACTATGAAATCTTCCCGATTTAAAAGCACCTACATAATCGAGCGTCGGCGATCGACTTGGGAGAGGTCAACTCAAGTCACCTCGCACACCGGACACGATACTGTGCTTCAGCTCGACTCAGCCTTCGTCGTCGACTTGTTGGAGGCGCGACACGATAGCAAAGGAGTCCATGGGTTTCTTCATAACATTGGTTGTGAGTTATCACCCCGCGCTAGGTATTTGATGTAGAGTCGCAGCAGATATTCAATTGACGTGAGTACTATATTGTCATATAGGTTGTAAATACGGAATAGCGTTGCCATATTGTTCTTGAATCGGTTTATGCTTCAATAATGACGCAGTCTTTGATCATTTGTCGAATCTCTTCGTCATTTACAACGTTATGCGATTTTAGCCAATCCTATCACATTTACTTACTTTAATTATATACTAGTATATATATTGATGTAAAGTAGTGGGTAGGGGGAAAATAATTGTAATTCTATTGTGAATTCGCTATAAACTTCCAAAACTCGCCTGGTTCTATTGAATCACGCTGGAATTCTGATTGGTTGAATACACTTTTCCTTCCTGTAAGAGCCAATCAAACCCACTCGAAATTGGATGAGCCAATAGCGTTGATTCGCGATTCGATTTGGTGGCAAGATTCGAGTGGACGGGGTCTGGAAATTTGTACCGAACCCACAATAATAAGTCGTAATTGTTCCTCTTAAATAATGTATTTTACTGTTACTTACTGTTAGTAGGTGAATGCTTCAAGGAAAAATTTCTTTTGTTGTTAGACAGGAATTGTTCCGAGTAGACAATTATTTATTTTCTGATTATATGTTTGCAATACAATAAATACTGTATGATTTTTTATGCCGAAAAGAAATATTTTGAAATTATACATTGAACACCCAAAATTAATTTAAATATATTTCCACCCTATGTTGTTGCTCGGGATGGAGTGGTTGAAATGAATTCTATTTCATCCAATTGGAATTGCAATCGGGGAATTATCCGGATAAAACTTTCAACCAATCAGAACCACGAGTGCCTTTGCACCATCAAAAAACGGTCTCTAGTCCGACGCGCAAGGGCAACCATGAGCTCGGCCATGATGCGAATCAACGAGTTGCAGACGGAATATGACCGTACGCAGAAGAACAAGGCGACAATGAAGCACTTGTGCTTGATCAAGGCGAAGATCGCCAAGCTTCGTCGCGAAGTGCTGGAAGGCGGCAAGTCTGGTGGTGGCGGGGGCGCTGGCGAAGGATTCGACGTCAACAAGTCGGGGGACACGCGCGTGGGTCTGGTGGGGTTTCCGTCGGTGGGCAAGTCAACCCTTCTGACCAAGCTCACAGGCACGTTCTCCGAAGCCGCGTCGTACGAGTTTACGACGTTGACGGCGATTCCCGGCACGGTCAACTACCGCGGCGCGCGCATTCAAATCCTAGATTTGCCTGGGATTATCGAAGGTGCCAAGGACGGCAAGGGGCGCGGCCGACAGGTCATGGGGACAGCGCGCACGTGCAACGTGATCCTCATGGTGCTGGACGCGATGAAGCCCGCGACGCACAAAAAGTTGATCGAGCACGAGCTGGAAGGGTTCGGCATCCGCTTGAACAAGAAGCCGCCCAACCTGGTACTGCGCAAGAAGGACAAGGGCGGGCTCAACTACACGGCGACCGTCGACCAGAGCGAGCTGGACCAGGAGACAGTCGCGCAGATCCTCAAGGAGTACAAGATCCACAACGCCGACGTGACCCTTCGGGAGGACGTGACCGCCGACGAGCTGATCGACGTGATCGAAGGCAACCGCGTGTACATTCCGTGCCTGTATGTGCTTAACAAGATCGACCAGCTCACGATCGAGGAGCTGACAATCATCGACCAGCTGCCGCACAACGTGCTCATCTCGGCGCACCACGGGTGGAACATAGATGAGCTGCTCGAGAAGATCTGGGACTACGCGAGTATGATCCGCATCTACACCAAGCCCAAGGGCCGGCAGCCCGACTACAACGAGCCCGTCATCTTGCACGACGCGGCGCCGTCCATCGAGGACTTCTGCATGCGCCTACACAAGTCGATTCTCAAGCAGCTCAAGTACGCCAATGTGTGGGGACTCAGTGTCAAGCACCAGCCGCAAAAGGTCGGCAAGGAACACATTTTAATGGACGAAGACATTGTCCAGCTCGTCAAGAAGAACTAACCAGCTACAGTACCTATATAAGTTTGCTGTGTGGTAAACACGAGTTGGGTTCTTCTTTGTTCGGTGGTTCTACGAGTAGTAGTAGTAGCCGCCCACCACTGTACTATAATAGCTGCTACTAGTTAGTCCTCCACGACTACTGTACGTACTGTGCTTGGCAATCTTGGAGCCATATCTTCACCGCGACGGGTTATCATAGTATATTCCACCCCCCAAATATAATGAAATATATTGAACAACCCCCGAAATATAGGCTTCACTGTAACGTTCAATATAGTGTTGAACTTTTTGTAACTGCCACGGGGTACGGTTGAATAATAATATCATCTGCGGACGAAACCGATCATAACCGCCACGACGACATGGCGGCGAGTTTGGTCGTGGACCGACTCCGGTTAGAGCTGGACATGCTGCGACGGGACACGATGCTGTGGTGGCTTCACGCACTGCCAGACATAACGATCCAGTCGTTGGTGCAAAGTCACGGCGGCATCTCCATCTCGGCCGACGTGGTGCCGTCCCCCGAGCTCGATCTGCCCGCGGACCCCATGACCATCGAGTTCCTCGTCAGCTCCAAGTACGGCAGCCTGCCGCCCGTCGTGCGGTGTCCAGGTTCGTTCGTCCACGGCATCTGCGACCCCAAGTCCCGGGTCGTGAACCTCCCGATGCTGTCGCGGGTTGAGCGCGGATGGTCCAAATCGTACTCGATCGCGTCTATTCTGCACACGATCCGGCGGACATTTGTGCGCAAACCGTCGTTGGCTTCGTCGGACGGCGGCGGCGTTGGCCCGTGGGTAAGTTCCATCTTGATGTTGAAGTAGCTCCAACATGGTGATATGTGGGATGTTAGGATATTCGGTCCAAATACTTGCAGTACATGGAATCAAAACACCACATGACGTCGACGGACGTGATCGTAGCGCACTGCGTCGGCGTCGGCAGCACTTCCGTGGGTGCGCGGGACCTGATGGAAGACGCGCTCGTGTGTGTGGACGAGCTGGCGTGTGGGAGCAGCAGCACCCTCGGGTTTCACCCGGCTTTGTACTGCGTGGCCGACGGACATGCCGGCATCACATGTGCCGACTACCTGATGCGGCGGCTGCCCGAGGCTGTAGGGGCCATTCTAGGTCAAGACAAGAGCCCACGGTATGTGTGAAAGATATATTCACCATGCAATAGAAATTATATGGGGAATCGCAACTAGTGCTTGACATGGTATGTATGTGTAGGGAAGCACTGTATCGAGCGTTCATGCAAGTGGACTCGGACTATAACGAGTGGGCGCTTGCCAATAACGACATGTACGACGACATGAATAACCATGTCATGAAGTGCTTGCTGGTCGTGACAGATGACGAGGGCAGGTCTGGGAGCACGTGCATTTGTGTGCTGTACGATGGACTGGACAAGTTGTACTGCGCCAACGTTGGCGATTCGAGGTACAGTAGGCTGCACCTCTGGTACACGACATCGCAGGGGATGTGACGTGGTCGTAGGGCGCTGCTGATTCGGGGCAGGCAGGCGATTCAGATCTCCCGCGACCACCGGAGTGTGGACGTTGAAGAGCAGGGATACATTGTGAGCCGGGGTATGTATGCGATGATGTGTATATTCTGATCTAACTCGCGACCACCCAGGCGGGTTCATCACCAACGACCGGACGTTTGGCCAGCTCACAGTGACGCGGGCGTTCGGGGACGTGGACATCAAAAAGCAGTTTGGGCCGTCGCTGTGTGCACTTCCAGAGATCTCCGAGTGGACGCTGAGTCCGTCAGGGGACGACGTGGTCGTGCTGGCGTCGGACGGGCTCTTCGCCGTCATGGACAACCGCACCGTGGCGAGCATCGTGACAGCGATGCTGGACAACGGCGCCGCGCTCCCCGCGATAGCAGACGTACGATGGTTTGTGTGCTTGGTTGTGGGGTTCACTCAGGACACCGAGTAGGAGCTAGTCCGGATATGCGTGGCAGACCGACGAGGGGAAGACAACACGTCGGTGGTCGTTATTGAGCTGACGACCGACAGCCACGACCGCCGAGGCGATGACGTGGCAGCAGCAGCGCGCACGGACGATGACGTGCTAATGGTGGAAGGGGAAAAGCTGCTCAAAGCAGACAAATCGGTGGACACGCTGCTGCACGACTTGGCGCTGCAGGACGACGTGGGGACGCCGCTGGTGATGACGACGAGCACCAAGGCGGAAGTGCTGCGCCGACCCACGACTGTGAGTCGCGTGGCGCTGCAAAACGACGAAGAGCTCATGGATTTCCTCTTGGACGAGCAAAACTTCTCGGGGTAGTGATGGCGACGAACATGAGGATGAATGATGCCCTTCCTCGCGCGATCTTGCGGCCGTTTCAGATATGCTCGAAGAGCTAATATATACTTAAGTAATATTGATGATTGGCAGTTTCACAATGTTGAAAATGTCTATAAATAGCCGACAGCGGATACGATGGAGGGAGGGAGTATTTCTATCGTCGCCACAACCAAACCAAGGGCTCTACCGGCGGTGTGCTGCAGATTGCGCTACAGAACGCCAACCCACTGCCTTCATCATGCACGACCGACTATCCGAGCTCACAGGTATGTACATCTACTTTGGCTCTACATGCTCACGGAAACCACTCGCATTTTGATGGACAGGCAAAGCCGCAGCAGGCGATGTCGCTATTGACGTTGCCGCCGAGGTACGCAACAGTCGTTCGTTCCGTGTGACCCTAACACTATGCTACATACCTTGTGTAGAACACAAAGTACCTTTCGACTCTACACGCCCCTCTTTCGCACCACCCAGCGTTGGGTCACCATGTGGATGATGATGGTATTGTAGTGTGGCGCGGCCCAAGTTTATGGAAAAGTTCTTTGTGGATGTCGAGGAGATGCAGGCCGACTTGGGGAAAATCACGTACGCGATGATGCCCATGGACACATGGCGGCTCGGTGGTGGTTCACAGACCATTGTGTGTATGTAGAGTGGCCACAGATCGCATCGCTGAGCTCAACCACCAGGCGCTGCTGGCCACGGCCACCGGCGAGGAGCAGAGTACGTACAGTATTAGCCCCGTGGACTTGTCCTTCTTCTCACACGATCTCCAGTCATTAGCCAAGAGTTGTGTTTGGTCATTGACACTACCAACAAGATTGCGGCCCGGGCCAAGGGGCTGTTGGAACTGATCAAGAAGGAAACCGCAGACAAAAAGAAGGACAAGAACGCCCCGGCTTCAGAGATGCGGTAGCCAACTAACTACATCGCAATCATCATCCATGATATCCAGCGATAAAGGGGTGGTTCATTAGCATCCGAGACAACATGTCCACGACCCTCACGCGCAAGTTTATGGACACGATGAAGGACTACCAAAAGGCTCAACAGCGCTTCAAGGCGGATATGAAGAACAAGGTCAAGCGCCAAGTCCAAATCGTCAAACCCGATGCATCCGAGCACGAGATTGACATGGTCATGCGGTCCGCCGACCCTGGTATGTACTACATATATACTAGTCGTACTCTAACAGACACGACCAGGAGCGATCTACCGCAGCGCCATCCTCCAAGGCAGCAACGACTCGATCAAGGAAGTGTACATGAATTGCCACGACAAGTACCAGGACGTGCTCAAGCTCGAGCAAAGCGTGGCCGAGCTGCACCAGATGTTCCTCGACCTGGCGCTGTTGGTGGAGCAGCAAGGCGAAATGCTCGACCAGATCGAGTTCCAAGTACTTAAACTGTTACTAGAGCATATGATAATTGACATATCAACTAGGTCAAGACAGCGTCCAACTACATTGACGCGGGCAACAAGGAAGTGACCAAGGCCCTCAAGTCCCAGAAGAGCATGCGCAAGAAGATGTGCTGCCTGCTCTTCTTCGGACTTATCGTGATCCTCATCGCCGTCTTGGCGTCTGGCGCGTTCAAAAGCACCTGATTCTCTTGTTATCACCAGTCGTCCTAATCCTCATAAACCTATTGATTTATCTCTCTCGACTGTCTCCATCCGTTCGGTTGGTTTACTTGGAGAACACCTGGCCCAGCGCAGACTTGAAGCAGTCAATGTTGTAGTCGATGATGCCTTGCTTGGTAAAGTTCTCAGCACGCAGCAGGCAAACCAGCGCCAAGTAGCTATATATATATCATAACATATACACTCATGATCCTGGCATAGCAAGCAATATATATATATATATATCTTTGTCAATTATTTTTAAACTATATATCTTTGTCAAAACTTTAATTATACATCTTGTTCAAAAAATATAATTATATATATATCACCAATATAATCACATATATATCACCAATATAATTACATATATATCACCAATATAATTATATATATATATATATTCAGCAGGTTGTGACGTACTTGTTGACTTCACGGAGATACAACACCATGCCCGTGTTGAGTCGAATGACCGATGACGACTGCGAGTCGTACGCGAGGCCGTCTCCGTCGCCGTCGTCCTTCATGCTACAGTCATAAATAAATATATATATATATATATATAACAGACAGTTTGAATACCCGTAGATGCACGACACGTCAATGACAACGTCGATCATGTCGCTGCACAGTTCGTACGACTGCATGTCGACGGGGTTGCTGTCCGTGGCAATGTACACTTTGCTCACCACGTCAAACAGAAAAGACTTCTCCATATTGCACCGCGAGATGAGGATATTGAGCAAATTCTCGAGCGTCGGTAGCTGAGGAATCAGCTTTTGCACGACTTTGCTAAACGCTTCAAAGATGCTGTGATCGTAAATGCTATTCGGACATCACATTAGGTTAGGATCTCATACCAGGATTGGTTGTTCATATATATATATATCTTGTCGAAGAATATATACAAAAAGAAACAATATCGGGCGAAAACATGAATAGTACGATATATACATATATATATATATATATGGCACAAACCTGGTCAGGTAAAAGCTCATGTTAGTTGTTCATATATATATATGGTTGAACATATACCATATCATGCGAAAACACGAATATTATGATATATATATACAAACCTGGTCAGGTAAAAGCTCATGTGGATGTCCAAGTCGCCGTCCTGGATCTCCTCGGTGATTTGCTGCTGAATGTCCCGCTGGCAATCTAACCCACAACACAACATAAATAATGGAATAAGATAAATAATAGAATAGATGAAGGTGAATCTCGGAACGAGAATAAATGATAGATGAAAAATATAAAATGAATAGATGAGAGATGGCGTACCAATCTTGTGGTCGTCGGAAATGAACAAGTCGCCGTCCACCTTGTGGATAAACACTTCGAAGAACACGTTCGGGTTGTACCGATGCGCGCGCGCGACCGTGTCGTGGAGCCGGGTCAAAGCTTCCGAGTACGGGTCGTCCTGCATGTCGTCAGCACGATATATCATGGAGATGGACGTGTGCGGAGCGTACTTGCGCGTCGATGACAAACACGATGGCGCCGCAGTTGCCAAATATCATTTCCTCGTTCACGAGCTGTCCCCCGTACACCAAGTCGTCTAATGGCGTCGTTGGATGGATCGAAAGCTGCTGAACGGGATGATGGGAAGGACGGACCTTTGAAGTCGAAATCGCCGGGAAAGTCCCAGATTTGGAACTGGACAAACGAATTGTTGGCAATGTACTTGATGTCCAAGCTGTTGGTTCCTTCGAGGAACAGCGTCTCATGCGGCGACATCTTGTGGAACACCACGCGCTGGATGCTCGATTTGCCGCTTCTACTCGATAGAACCAATAAGGATAAGAACATGGACATGACACTCAGTGGATGACATTACCGTCGAAGTCCCATGAGCAAGATGCGCGGCTTGTTTTCGCCGCTCAACGACCCGCCATCCGTGTCATCGAACCTACAGATCTGTACGGTGACGCGACGAGCCCACAGAAGCCGTTTGTGTATCGGCATGGACGTACCCATGCGATAGAGAGTATCCATCCGCATCTACTTGATCATCACCAGAACGCATTAGATCATCTCCCTCATCCCATCAAGATTCCACCCACAAGAATTGTCGCCCCACGCCATGTCCATAATGCTGAGCAGGGAAATTCCAAGATTATTGCGTCAGGGAGGTTGCGGTATCCGGACGAATCAAAATACCGGATAACAGGTTCTATCATCCGGACCGGTTACTTATCCGGATAAATGCCATGCCCATGTGAAACTACAGTACCGCACTTCCCGCCATAATGTTCATCCGAGCTCGGAAGCGCCCCCAGCCACATGCAAACCTCCCCGTCAAGATAAGCTGGAGGTAGATACATACCCTCAATATGGAGAGAGAGAAGGCGCCGCTGCATCGAGCGCATAGATATTAACCGAGTTACGTTCGATGACGCTTGAACACGGGCACGGGGTGGTGGTCGCTGTCTTCGTCTGTCATTTCGCAGTCCATGGACTTGGAGATGGTCATGTGCTCAATGTCATGCTCCAGTTCTCGCTCTCGTTTGCCATGGGAGCGATTAGCTGGCGCGTTCGCGAGATGCAATCGTTGCCGGGGGTGTTGCAGGAATTCCACGCCAAAGTACAGCCCCCCTTGGAGGGTATGCTGGACCTGCAAGTGCAATCGACATGAGCACAACATAATGGCGGTAAATATATAGTCGTACTTGTCTTCGAAACAACTGCGCGTTCTCAACCAAGGTCTTGGCGGCCACAGGGTTGATGGCAAAATCAATGCTGGGCTCGAGAAAGATGAGCTACATCATGGCCGTCGTGAGGGTCTCATGTACATGGTGTGGGGAGATACGAACGGACCTGTAAACCTAGTAGAATCGTGTTGATGCTCAACACGGGGCGCCAGTCCTTGCCCAGAATCGAAAACATCACTTGACCCGAGTGGATGTCGATGTTTGGATGCCACACTCTACATGCGCGCACCATGATCAGCAACATGGAACGTTTCATTGTAGAAGGGTCCAGACTTGTTCAAACTGTACACGAGCGGCGCTACAGAAACACATATGAGGAAGGACGGGACGGGGCGGTCGAAGGAAGGCCATACCGTGGAAGGGGTATGTGCGGGGAATGTCAAACTGGAATTGGAAATCGCCGTTTGCATATGGACTGTCGATGTCCCCCACAGAGATGGAGATGAGGATGCGCAGCAGATTGTCCACGCCGTCCGGGAATTCGATCTGGGTTGTCGCATGCGCACAGACGAACTTTCCCTTGGCGAGCTACCAAGCCATAACGTCCAGACGCCAATGAGCCGGGGATGCGCACGTACCTCGTTCACATCCTTCCGCACCCGCAATGTCGCGAGATCTAACTTTGAGCACATTCCTTCGTCGTTGGCGGCACACAGTGGAAGGAATCGAATGAGCGCTTTTCTCCTTGTGTTTTCTGGACGCGCAAGTAACTATACGATGTCAGATTGGCTGAAATCCCTGTCAATATTGGCATTTTGACCAATCAAATCGGTGATATAATATTTTATATTGTATGAAATATATCTCAGCATTTAGGAATTCGTCGTTACAATATATTATAACATTGCTATATTTATGACACATGATGTATTATAACATTTTGAGTCACAAGTGCAACGAGGCAACATGGCCGACGACAACAGCGACGGCGCGGCGGTCGCTGTGGCGCCAAGGCGGCGCATGAAGCCACTTCTCCTGTACGAGGAGATCGTGTTAGGTGGGGCGCATACGGCCAAGCGATTCACATGCGTGGACGTGTGTGCTCGGTTTCTAGCGTGTGGTGCGACGAATGGAAGCGTGTACATCTTTGCACGCAGCCAGAAGAAGCAAGGCAACACGTCGTCCTCTTCTGTGACGTTTCGTCTGCTCAAGATGATCTCCCCGCCTTCGGCCACCAGCGACCGGCACCAGGACCCCGTCACGTGTCTGAGCTTTTGTCCGGTGCAGCGGTATCTCGTAGTAGGCACGAGTCGCGGCGCCGTGTACGCGATCTCGTTGCTCGATCCAGCGCGCATTGGCGAGAAGATCGAGTTCTCCCACCCGCTCCACCACGGTTTCTCCGTGTCTGCGCTGCTTTGGGACGAACCTGGTGCGCGCGTCTTCTCCGGGTGCACCGGCGGGACCGTCGCGCAGACGAGCATCCGCGCGGGGGTGTCTGCGATCTTCGGGTCGTCCTCCACCGAGTTCCTTCTCAAGGAAGACACGTCCATCGTCCAGCTGGACATCCATCACTCCAACGCCACGGGCGATCTGCTTCTCGTGTCGTCGCAAACCCGCGTGCTCGTGCTCAACCTGTCGACCGACGGCGGCATCGTCCAAGTCGGCACGAAACTGCGACAGGGTAACTTTGGCGGGTGCTTCTTTGTCGACCCCGACGACAAACAAGTCAAAGTGTACTCGTCCCGTCCCGGCAAGCGCGTATGGGTCGCCGATCCCGCGTCCGGCACCGTGTCCTCCACCCTCCGCTTCTCCATGAGTGTGCCGCCGACGCCCTTCTTCCACGGCCCGAACGTCGCGCCCGCCGACGGTATGACGGTGCCCTTCCACGCCGTCTCACATTTGTATGTAGACGTGTCGGCGAAGAACGTAACCCTGTCGCATGTGAGTTTGTTCAAGTACATCCACGAGAGCATGGACTTCACGCCGGACCTGCCGCAGCTCATCAGCTGGGCGCCCAACTCGTCGGCACTCGTCCTCCTCGACCCCATCGGCGTCGAACTCGTGGAGTGGCATGTCGACCTTGGTGTCATTCACGACCTCAAGGTACGAGAGATAGAAACTATTATATATATTGTCGATTTGATACAAATTTGGGGAGGGGCCAAACCGCTCCACAATCGATCTGATTGGTTGTTGAATTTCATTGAGAAGGTTTTGATTGGCTAATCATTTTGAGCTCATCTGAAGTAGCCAATCAAATCGATTTAAATTCCAACGAGAAACCACAACACGAAATTTCACTCGAAAGCACAATATATATTCTCATGTGGACGATATGACATTGTATTGTTGTCTCAAACAAGGTGTTGTTATGATCGATATATATATATATATATATATATATATATATATGATACAATATATATAATATAATATTATATATTATATATTATATATTTCATTATTTATATTATATATATTATATATATACAGAGATGCCCATTATGCTCCAACAACCATGCCAGCTGTACACGTTTCGATATATATTTGCAAGATATATTCAGAGAGGTCCATTTCATAACTAGGTATATCAGGTGTACGCGGTTCAATTTGGAAATATATAGGCGAAATGGATTAATAGTAGGAACATTTTCCCTTCGAAATCAGTTTGACAGTTACGTTCTCAGGGAAAAAAATATCTTCGTATCTGCATTGTAATATTTTGGCTTTCTATTTATAATGATATATATATATATATATATATATAGGTGCTGGATGCGTCTGTGTTTGTGGTGCTCCATGGCGATCCAGGAAAGATTGCGATTGTGAGGGCCTGTGCCGCGATTGAGTTTTTGGAGCTCGCCGTCTCGAACGACTTGCAAAAGTCCATTGAGGTACCAAATCTATTATAATATTAAACTATATGAATCTCATCGTATGATTGCGAAATATTAGCTGGCGGTCAAGTGCAATATCCTCGACCTGTCGTTGCTGCTGAATCTCCAGTGCAAATGGGTCGAACACATCAAAACGACACCAGACGACGCCGCCAAGTTGGCCCCGCAGACCCTCGCGGAACTCGAAGCGCTGGTCGACGCCGCTGCGACGTTGGTTCAAGAGCACACTCGGTAGATATATATATTCCAACCCGATTTTAGAGTCAAACACAATTATATATATATATTGCAATTTTGTTTTGAAATCTGCATTCATGATATTGTCTTTTAACCCAAAATTGGGTTGACTATTGGGTGCTGATTCCAAATGTATCGATCGATATATCGATTCTTTGTATTGACTTTTGTATGGAATAATCGTCCAGTATCACACGAATTTCAGTCATACACTACTTCGATGTTTCATTGGTCGAAGAGTGGATGATTTGATTGGCTACTGGATTCGTGATCTGGGTTTTGATTTGGTCGATTTTCGATTGTCTGCCGATTTGGTCCTCCCCCCACTCTAATTTCGAATCGACTTGACGTGGTATGCTTTCCCTTGTATAATATCGAGATATATCGTGAATAGGCCGCCAGAGCTCGACATTGCGCCGCCCCACGTCGTGTTCAAGCAGCGCCGCGACGCGCCCGCCGCCGACCCGCCGCCGCCACTCCCCCCTTCGGACCAATCACTGTCTTTGAAACTCAACTTTCTGTACGAAAAGCCCGCTCTGTACGACTCGGTGCGCACGGCCACGACCGGATGCGACATGGTTCCGTCTCAGCCCAAGCGCCACGTGTCCATTTCCGACCTCGGAACGAACGACAAGGTCGTGGACGAAGCATGGCGGGCGCGGCACCTCCCGCCCCCGAGCGACGTGACCCTCAAGCCCGCGACTCTCTTTGGCGAAGTCGACTTGGAGACGCACCTGACAAATGCCACGTCTCAGCTCGTGTCGATGCTGCCGGAGCGGTACTTTGGACGGACGTCGTCGTCTGCCGCCACTCCGACGACTGCCGAAGACGACGAACCCGCCGAGTTTCCGCCCTTCGACCCGCCCGACAACCATGTCCTACAAGGTGAGATATATCGTGATGATCATACTAACGTTTGTATGATTGTACCCACATATTTGTGTGTTGTCATTTCGCATTTCGCCAAGTACCTGCCTTCGAATCCATTGGATCCTATTTAATCTTGTACAAACTATACAACGAATAGTGTATACATATATATATGGTTTTGCCCAATGCAGAGGAGAGGGGTCAACCGATTGGATTGGCAGAAACTCGAATACAAGACGTGATATTTTTGCATATTGGCTTAGTAGCAGTTCTATAACCATCCATTCTCTTATACTCCAGTTTCGAATCGATAATACCTGGATATATACCGCTAATGCTGCTTTTTGGTGGAAATGACCAGCCAAGTCGTCGTCGTCGGTGCAGTCGGTGCTCAAGCTAGCGATGGCAGTGAGTCCGTCGAAAGGAGGGGAAAGAAGGGAAGGTGGTGATGATCTGCGCCTGATTGTACCCGAGACGGCGGATGGCGCCGCCGACCAAGCGTTCGACCCGCGGTCCGGCCAAGAGGTGGTGCTGGAAGCCATCGCGACCGACTTGTTTCTGTCGGAGCTTCAGTTCCAGTCCAAGCGACCGCTAGCCCAGCGCCTCTGCCTCTCAACTGACAATGACAACCAAGACGATACGCCGTCGCCTTGTTCTTCACGCCCACGTCCATCGTAAGGACAACAACAACTACTTGAATACCAACCCCCTGTTGTATATATATATATATATGACGAACGATGTGGTGTGTAGTATCTGGAAGCATCAGAATATGACGACAGCAGCGCCGAAACGGCCGCGCACCGCGTCGGACACCAAGCAGCAGCTGATTGAGCGGACGGTCGCCAAGCAGATGGGTGTGTGCGCAGTGTCACATGTCCAAATCAAGTGGACGCTTGGCGGGACCATGCGCGAGTCGGCCGATTTGGCGGCGGTGGCGGCGGCGCGGCCGGTGTTTGCGTCCGTCCAAGCCGACTTTGAGCAGGCGGTGGCGGCCGCCGCGACCCAGCTGCACCTGTGGCCGCCGGCGACGCTCACCCGACTGGCCAGTTGTGCGACCAACGGGCACTTGGGCCACGGAGACTTGAAAAGGGCGCGGCGATGTCTAGAGGCGTTCGTGGGCAGCTTCGACCCGACGATTGACATGGCGTTGATTCAGAAGCGAAAGCAGATCGATCTTATCAAGAAAACCCAGCTTAAAGCCGTGCAATTGGCTGGTTCGCATAGCCACAAAGAAGAAGAAGAAGAAGAGGAAGACCTGCTGCCGCTTACACGGAATGACTGGACGTTGGTGCGGCTCTTGGTATCGTTTTACTTTGTCCTGCTGGGTCCAGTCTATGTTGAAACTCTGTCGCATGGATCGATGAAGAACGACGAATATGCGACACTGTGTGGAGGGGTCATCCCTGAACTGGACGTCCAGTACCGCTTGATACGTCGTGGTATTGTCCATTTACATCATGCCAAACGTAAACTCTTTTAGGCGGATACAAAGCTTTGGATATATATATATTGTTTGTACTGACTTTTGTATGTAGAAAACATCTCGTCCAAATTCACACGAATTCAATATAAATGCATTCTTGGTCGGCGAGTGACTGGATGATTTGATTGGCCACTACTTGATTCGTATTGTGGGTTTTGATTGGTCAATTTTCGTCGATTGTCTGCCGATTTCGTATTTCGAATCGACTTGACAATATAACGCTATGTCGTGTACATATAAATGGTATATATATTGTCGTTTTACCCAAAATTTGGACTTTTGTGCTGATTCTTTGCCAAATCTATCGAAAGATCGTCCAGTGTCACACTAATTTCAAGCACACACTAATTCGATGTTGAATTATTCGAAAAGTGGATGATTTGATTGGCTAGTTGATTCATGTTTTGTGTTTTGATTGGTCTATTTTCAATTCTCTGCCGATTTGGTGAT